ACGCATTTCTCTCCATATATTAACCCCCACCTCCCATATGAACATTGATTTATTTTAGTTAATTCACTCTTCAGTAACCCTTTTTAACTCAACATCCTACAGAATCATCAAATTTTTTTTCCTGTCAAAGTATCTAACGGTTTTGTTGCTGCTAAAATTGATTGTATTTTACAGTCTATTTCTTATGAAGCTTTCCAGTAACATTTGACTCTAACTTTCTCTCACTTTAAAATATTCTTGTCTGTTTCAAGGAAAAGAATAGGAACAAACAAGCTTTTTCTCCAAGTGCCTTTTCAGACTCCTCTTGTAAACAGTTTCTTACTATCTCAGGACTCATGTTAATTGATGTTCACTACTGGCTTTTAGTTTCATTTTATTCTCATTGCTCTCATCCCCAACGCCCATTAATTCTGTCTCTAAAAGAAAGTGCAAAAATATGTCTGGAATGTGTGCTATTCCCTAATCTCAACTATATCCAATATTATCTCTTAATTGGAAACCTAAAATAACCTCATTATAGGATGTATCCCATTCCTTGCTTCTTTTCAATTATTCATTGCAGTCAAGCCTAGACTATATAGAACTATAGTGAATGTTATGTCTCTGCACAATATTCACAATACTTGAGTTCCTGGTGCATTAAAAATGATTTTCAGAAAATATCATCCTCTGTAATCTGATCCCTGACTATCTCTGTGTGCCTCTGTTCTTTGCCTTTACAAGTTCTGCTACAGTGAACACGTAGCTGATTGGAACAACATGTTCTTATGTTTTAAGTTACAGGCATTAAAGTATGACATTGAAGCGTTAACCCTATAACATATGAAATACTAATTAGGAAAACTAGTTCCTGTTTAGTAGGCGATGAAATAAATGCATAGTGATTGTTGCCTCCCCTCACTTATATTCGTTATTCAAAACTAACTTTTCAGTCCTGTCAAAGGTAAAATAAATCACCAATTATCACTGCTGTATCAAACCTAACTGACATAGCAAGATTAGAACAGAAAAACGGTGTGTCTAAAGCCAGTGGTTGAAAATTGAATACTCTGACATTAAAACAATTGCTATGTAAATTGGTGCTTGGAAATGACTTCTACAGATATGCCCCATAGTATGCCTGTCACTAGCCAGATGCCAGGTTGACATTTTATTCTGCTATTCAGACTGAGACTGACTGCAACTTAGCTGAACCAAAACGATTCTGCGAGACATCATACCATGTCAAAAATTGAAAAGAACAGTAGCAAGTTTCTTCTCTTTTCTGAACATGGTCTCCTTAAAAAGTTGTTTTTATTTCTTGTTTTCTAGGAATTTGATATTCTGTAAAAATATTTATTCTTGTCTTCTGTATAGAAAGTCTTTCTTTTTATTTTTCACAGTCAAGTATTAAAAATTGACCAAGTGATAGTGTAGCAAGTAAGGCACTTGCATTGCGTGTGCACCCCAGGAGTGATTCTTGTGTGCAGAGACAGAAGTAACCCCTGCAAATGCCAGGTGTGGCCTCCAAAAGCAAATGCGTGTATGTACATATATGTGTGTATACATACATATATATATATAAAGTCATCTGAATTGTAGTTATTCAGTGTCGTTGTTTCAACACCAATACCTTCACCAGTGTCTACTTCCCTCCATCAATGTGATCCCCCACCCCACCTTTTCCCTCCCACCCACCAATTTGCCTGCATGGAGATTTGATAACTTCAGGCATTTGCTGTACTGTTGCTGAGAGTGTTTCTCGCTCAACCTCTCAACTTCTCCTCCTGGTCACTTCTCTCTAAGTTACCCTTATTTCATGCAGCCTTTCTCTGTTCTATCTCCTACTCCCCCAAATGGCATGCTTCCCACTGAAGGCTGATTCTTATATTTATTAAGAAAATCTTTTGAAAACAGAATGCATAGGGTATAACTGCTTGAACTGTCTTTTAAGAGTGAAGTCGTTTTATCACTCGATCACTTGACTTCCCGTTAATCATCGATTTGCTCCAGCGGGCTCCAGTAACGTCTCCATTTGTCCCTGTTGCGTGCTAGTGTAGCCCAATGGCGTCTGTTTGTTGTAGAACACGTAGAGCCTCAAAGCGATCATTCAGGATCTTGATGAAGAAGTCTGACCATCTGGTAGGTGGGCGACCAGACAGTCATTTGACATCTCATGGAATCCAGTCGGTAATGGCTCTAGTCCAGCTGTCATCTCCAAATCTCATTACGTGTCCAGCTCATCTGACTTTTGATGCCTTGGCAAACAAGACAGCATCCTTGATCGTCGACTGAGGTTGGAAGTTCGGATTTTTTCTCTCATTTGAGTGAAATGTGATACTCCAAGCATAGCTCTTTTGATTCCTCTTTGGGAGACCCGAATAGCGTTCTCATCCTGTTTTCATAGGGCTCAGGTCTCTGAGGCATATGTTAATGCAGGAAGAACAGCAGAATCGAAGAGATGTGCCTGAAGCCATGGTTCTTTGTCCTCTTTGCTATTTCTTCGATGCTCTTGAAGGCTTTTCAAGCCACTCTCTTTCTCCTGCACAACTCAGGTGCCAGGTCATTCATCATGTTGACTTCTCGACCTAGGTACACTGAGGTTGGAAGTCCGGATTTTTGCACTGTTGCACTCGGAAATGGTCGTTCCATTGAGAGTGAATGGAGCATCAAGAATGAGGCTGTTTCTCATAAACACTGTCTTCGTGAGATTCAGCTGTAGTCTGACCTTTCCACACTAACGGTCGAAGTCGGCCAGCATTTGTGCTGCTTGGCTAATCTTTGGTGATATTAGAACGATGTCATCAGAAAAGCGGAGGTGGTGTAGTTGCTGACCATCTAACTTCACTCCCATTCCTTTCCATTCCAGTTGTTGCATGTCATTCTCGAGGGTGGCACTGAGGAGTTTCAGTGAAATGGTATCATCCTGCCGAACCCCTCTCTTGACATCAATGACCACTTCTTTATAGAATGATGAGATCCTGGTAGTGAATCAGTAATACAGCTTATGGAGGATCCTGATATATTGAGTTTGAATGCCCTGATTGGCTAGGGCTTCAATGACTGCTTCAGTTTTGACTGAAGCCCCACAGAACAAGATAAGCGGAACTCTGAGAACTTGGACTCCAGGCTCAAAGGACCCATAGATAGATTCTCTGCTTGCTCCCACAAACCACAGGTGAGGAAGGGACTAAAACCAGGAGCCCCACCCTACCCTTCTCTGTCTGCTTCCACTAGCTGCCAGAGACCCAGGGATCGGATTGCGCACAGAAGACCCACCCTACCCCTACCAGTACCAGATAAATACCTCACCAGCAGACCTCCACTAACTCCACTACCTCCACTACACAGAATGCTTTCTGGACCACGCGGCCACTTTGCAGCCACACAACACATTATAAGACACTGAATACCCATCTTCCAGAATTGCCGCACCATATTTTTTAGAGTTCAAATATAGTTTGAATCATGGGAACACCTACAAGGGCGATTAGAGGCCTCCCCAAAAGACTCTATCCCTCTTGGAAAGTCTGGCAAGTTACCAGGAGTATTCCGCCTGCATGGAAGAACTTTGCAAGCTATCCGTTGTGTATTTGATATGCCAAAACCAGTAATTACAATGAGTCTCATTCCCCTGACCCTGAAGGCGTCACCAGTATGGCAGTGTTGACTGGATGAGGAAGGAGAGGCTGATAAAATCTCAAGGCCGAACAAGGTTGCCAAAACGAAGGAAGACAAAAATTGATTGTCTGTACTTTCAATGTACGTACACTAGCATCGAATGCATCCATCGAGGACCTAATGGTACAAATGCAAAAGACCAAGTACGACATCATTGGTCTGACTGAGACAAGAAGGCATCAATCACATCACGCCTTTTTCGACACAGGAGAAGAATTGTTCCTCAGAACATGAGATAAAAGAGGTATCAGTGTCTTTGTCAACACGAACTTGGCCAGGAGCATTGATTCATTCTAATGCCTAACAACCCGAATTGGATATTTACACTTGAATAGATGTGGCTCACTGCTGGAAGTTTCTATCTTTGTTGTCTACGCACCAACATCCAATTATGATGAAGGAGAAATTGAGAAGTTCTACATGGAGCTGGAGAAGTTCTATAAAGAAGACCACACCTTCTACAAGATCATTGTCAGTGATTTTAATGCCAAGATAGGACCGAGAAGATCAGCAGAAGAACTCTACATTGGGACCCATGGCCTAGAATGGAATGAACAGGGTGAGAGACTGTCTGAGTTCATCATGTCAACCAAGACCATCCATGGTAACTCACAGTTCCAGAAGGCCTAATCTAAACGTTGGACCTGGAAGTCTCCCAGTGAACGGTTCCACAACCGTTTACAAAATTCAATCCAAAAAATTTAAATTTGTGGTTTTTTTTTTTATCTCAGAAGACTTAACGGGTCAGCATGGAATTTTTCATAATAATTTCCACTGGGATTGTGATGATGTCTTAATTTATATCTTAATGGTATCTTTACTTGTTTTACTTTTGATTTTATTTTCCCTCTTAGAGCCTTAAACATACCCTAGTTGTAGAAATACACTGAAACCATAGTGATAATCATACATATTGTAGTAGTTAAACTGCCAACACTTCAAGAGAACCTACTGAAGTCTTAATCAGCTCAGTGGAAACAATATTAATGTACAAAATACGTACTTACTAATATCAGATTAGGAGAGGAAAATAAAAGTTAACAAAAGCAAGTTATTGCAATACATGCTTAAGCTTCCATTTGAGTTGCTTGTCTTAAACATCAGTAGTTCAGGAAGAATGATTTTGAAGGAGCCAGGGAAGTAACTAGTGATGGACAAAATCATTAATGAATTATTCAAATGAATAAAATGATCCTTACAATGCACAAGCTCTATTATAGAGAACTATATAGAGAACTATTATACTAAAATTAGTTTCACACTTTGTCAAGTGACAAGGAATTTGTACGTGATACATTTTCAGTTTGCTTTTGACATCCCCACCTCTTTACTATCTCCAGCTGTAAGCACAAGATGTACCTGGAAAGACTACCGAACACCAGCATCATTATCCCGTTTCATAATGAAGGTTGGACGTCACTCCTACGGACCATTCACAGTATCATTAACCGGACCCCCGAGACACTGATAGCAGAAATCATTCTGGTAGATGACTTCAGTGACAGAGGTAAGATACAGTTTATTTTTATCTTGTTCTTTCATCACGCACATCATTATTTTTAAGAAAAGGAGGAAGAAGATGATGATGTTTTGATTCTACCTGAAAGATGATTATGAAGTTGGGTCTATGTCATGATTTCACTAAATGTTAGCCAACTGAATAAGAATCTGAATAAGAAATTAGTGCTGTCATTTGGGTAACTATAAGAAATTTGCATTAAATTTCTGCTGTAAATTAGACAGGTGTTGGCAAAATGCCTCAATTTCTGCTTTCAGCTTTGGATAAATATTTCAAAATAGAAGGTCATGTGAATGTTGAAAGATTTCAGTAGCACTGTAAAACCAGGTACTATTTCTGAAAAAGTATCTACTCTGTTATTGACAGTGTGAAAAGATTCTTTAGGTTTTCTTGTATTACTTGATAAATACTAGGAATAGTAAGTAATGCAAATGAATATTTTATTTGAAAATCCTGGCTATTTTATATATAAACAATAGCAAAAATAGGCTCTACAATGTATTAGAAGATGATGTGTATTTTAATATTCTAGAAAATTCTATATTTTTCATATTAAAGGGAAACAGTATAAGAAATATCTTGGTATTTGAATTTGATTAATCCAACTTTGTTTAAATGCAGAAGTGATTCATTTTCTAAGGAAGTAAATTTCCTTATTCTTGACAGTTTGAAAGGAGGGACAACTTTTATTAATAATGTTAATTATTTCAGAATGTAATTTTTAATATTTTATTCATGAAGAAACTGTGCAACTATATGCATTTTAGTAAAAAAAAAAGAAAGGCAATAAATGAGTTTGATTGCATATTATCCTTATGCCTCAAGAGGTCACACTCCTTAGTTCATATGGTATAACTGAACATTTTAAAATGTCATTAGCTGTCACAACGTACTTTTCTTCATAGTTTTGAAAAATTATTTAAATGGAAAAACTGCTTGGTATGTTAATTTTTAGGTTTCTTTAACGGAATTTGTGACCTCAAAGCTTTTTTTCAAACACTTGCGTAAATGGAATATGAATAAAACTTATATCACAAAATTGGACTATCTTATACCATTAAATTTAGGTGGGAGACTTGCTATTTTGGTTTAATTTCAAAGATGTTTGTTGTCTGGAGTTGACGTTTATTCAATGCCTGTTGATGAATAAGATCCACTATCCATAACTGAAATCCATTATTTACTTTATTTAAATAATACATTGGTTGTCTTTTTATCTTGTTGAGGGTGAGGCATTACTTTATCGTTTTTCTTTTAACTTCAGGCTAAACAATAAAGAGTCCAGATTTAATAATCAGAAAAGTTTCTTTAAAATATGTGGAAAGGGAATGGGCCTGTGCATCACCCAAGTAATATTCTTTTTTTGCATGATTGGTACCTAAAGAAACACAGCAAAATAATTTTCTACAAAAAAGCATTGACTTGGTAAACTATATATTACAAAAAAATTTTGACCTGGAGGTAAATATAATAGGGAGCACTTAATAGCAGAAAATTATGATTTTTAGAGCATCTTTTGCTGAAAACTTTCTTAGGGGAAATTTTCAATTCAAAGTCACAGAAAAGGAGCAAATTGTGGCATCTACATGTGTGTTAACATCAAATCATTGTCATCTTTTATACAATTAAATTTTGATGTACTATTCTCTACATAAAATGTTACATGGTGAGTGTGATTTAGATGAGTAGGAATATAATCAATTCTTGTGAAGTTAATAGCAAAACAATAATTTCAGATGGATATGGTGAGCTTGACTTTCCTACTGGACATTTTTAAGGATCATATATTGAAACCCAGGAAAATCTTTAATTTAATATTCTGTTACAAAGAATTCACAAGGTGAATGAATTATGATCATTAGACTTCAACAAGTTCAATTGTTTTAAATATAACTAATTATTTTAATCTGCCCATGTGTATAAAAGTCAATTTTGAAGGAAAATTATTTTGAAAAAAAGTACTGTGTGATCTTTCAGAGTAGATTTTAATTCTGAAGTTGTATGGATAGGAATTACCCTTCATCAAAAATCTTTGTTTTACATTACAAATAATCCTATGATAAAACACTAGGTATCTAGGTAGATCTGTGAAACAGCACTCCTGTCTCATAATTTATGGGAAACACATAAAATTCATAATATAAACGCAGGGTAAAAGCTTATCAGTAGTATTAATTATATGCCAGTGGGTAAATTAACTCTCTGTCTCAGAATGTTTCTATGAAAATTGGAAAAATAATAGTAACTACTCTTATTTCCATAATGATAGGCATTAGCCATGAAAGACTGAGTGAATTGGCCACACACAGGAAAGAAATTGCTTTCAGCCATTAGCTAAATAGTTAATATGCACACCCAGTACCAAAATATAGTTTCTTTATTTTTCTTCTTAATTAAATCCGAAATAATCCATATGAATTTTTCTCATCTATCCATCTAGCTAGCTAATCTTTGGAAGCAACAGAAATCAGAGAGCAGGTGAAGATCAAGTTTGTAATTTGTGATGTTAGCAAAATTAAAGGCTGCCTTTACATTTGTTTAAAAGTCTAAGTTTACCTATAAGGAGGTAATTTAATCAAGACATTGAAGAAAATTAAAATTCTATTTTATGGAAGGGAGTATAATTTGTCTTAAAGATATCTGGGGTATTTTATTTTAAGAGAAATTTTATTCTCTTTTTTCTTATAATTTTACATAAAGTTATGCTATTAAATATTGTGAAACTGTAGACATGAAAGTATATCATTTTTAACAAACCAGATATCATGAGTGTGCAGTGTAAAAGTTATTTTACCAATATTTCCAAAGTAAAGTAGGATTTTTTTATTGCGTCTGTAAAATATTTCTAGAATTTAAAGTATATTTCAAAACTACATTTCAATTTTAAGTCTTTTCAGCTTGCTTAACATCTTGCGGTATGTATTGTCTGGATATTCCTTTGACCTAAGCAATAAAACTTTGACAAGATAGTAAAATATCATCACCTTATATATCATATCCTCCAGGTTATGCATGCCAAGAGGAGAAAAAACCTGATTAATGTTATTTTCTAGCCATGTTAGTAACAAATGTGTAAAAATATCTGGAATTTGTAGTTCTCTCAAATGTACTACCATGATTGAAAACAAGAAATATTGCATTGTATAGCAAGAGAACAGAGGCAGGAATAAACCCTGAGAACAGCTGAGTGTGGCCCAAAAATAATAATAAAATGAATAAAAAAGAAACAGATATCCCATCAAGCTGTTCTCAGTTTAGAGATTCTTCCCGGAGCAAGTCGAGTCAAGAGAATCTTGTCGTAGCCTGAGAACATGGACTCTCTCTAAAAAACCATGAGGTGAGGCCCACAGCTAAGTTCCCAGTGACAGCACTCTGTTTTTGCTATCTGAAGCTTGCCAAAGTCAGTGAATATGATTTTTCCCCCAGTAAACTCTCAGAAATGCATTTAACAACTTAACTTGAGGCCTGTAACAAGGCTTCATGATGACTTTAAAGCAGGACTAATCCTGGGCTTATCTCCAAATTCCAGGCAACCTTAACAGCATCCACATGGAAAATGTTGAAATGTGTGAAATAAGCTGGGGCTTAACCTTCCAGATAGGGGATATTTGAATCTGACAATTCTCTAAACTTTGTATGCTCAGATGAATGCAAGTTCAAAATGAGGCTAGTCACAGGAGTCACTGGCACACTTGCCTTAATGCAAGGAGAGAATCCTGCCCTGGGTACAGGTGCTCTCGCTCACTCTGGCCCCTTTTTGTTGCCATTGCCCAGGGAAGGAAAGAGAGGCAGGTGAGAACTCGATTTCACAAACACTTATTTTTTCCTAGTACTTAGAGGAGAACCCACACTCGAAACTATCTTCCCAAATGACCAGTAGTAAAAATTGCAACGAAATTTTACAATTTGATATTTCTGGTTGATATTTCCTTAGAGAGCATGGATCTTTGCTTCCCAAAGTCTGATCTGTAGCCCAGTATCAGTAGTATCACTTATAAGAAACACAAAATCTCAGACCACTTCAGCATGTATCAATACGTTTCTGTTCAACAAAATTTGTGCATCGGTGTTATGCAAATCAAAGATGTGCTTCAAAATTTGAATTGAAATTTTAGTAATATGGATGCATAAGTAGCATAACTTTGAAAATACCCTATCATGCATACATGTATTATTAAAAATGTTTATATTTTTATTATTTTGTGTATAAGCAACACTCCTTGTAAGAATAAGTTGGGATGGAAATTACATAGCATTCCCTCTATATTATTTTGTCTAACTTATTTTATTCCATTTCTTTGTAAAATTTACCTTCTTTGTTACACAAATACATTCTGTCTGTTTTATTTCATAATCATTCAGTAGTTTTCAAAGGGTTTACTTTGATTCTGCCTAACTCAGAAGGGGAAATATATAGAACAGATAGCATCCTATTGATAAAACAACTTATTTGAAGATTTATATTACCATAAAAATTACATACCCTTTATGTATCTCAGTTTCTAAAGTCTTTAAAATCACAGGAATTAAATCATTTCACAAACCAACATGACCAGTCTTGCAAGATCAGTTCTACTTTACACAAATGGTCACCAAGTACATATTAAGTAAGCTAAGTTTCCAAGAGCAAACAAATCAGCTTACATGAATTTTGTAACTATTCAAAGTTGGAAGATATCAGTGTGAAAAGGTTGTAAAATAGATGAAAAATGATAGTGCTTTTCTATTTTATATGATAAAATATGAACACTTAAAGTGCATATAAAGATTCTGAGATGACAGTCAACAAAAATGCTTTAGTGCTGGCATTCCATCAAACACTTCACTAAACTGTGAGAAAAGCAATTTTTATATCTCACTTTTATTGAGAGCTAGTCACTCTCAAAGATAGGGGGTTTACTTTGATTTGGTAATCACAGTTTAAAAATTGTAAGGGTTACTGTGTTTTTAAAATTAAAATACAATATTAATATAAGCGAGTCTGGAGC